GGATATAAACAGCCCTCTCTTTATAGCTGGCAGTGTTAAATATTTATAACCAAGAAGGATGTCCAAGCTGCTGCAGCGGTTGCAGCTTACCTGGAGATAATAATAACATCTGTGTTTTTACAGTTCAGCTTTGGTGTTCTTAGACAGCTCCATATCCGGCAGACTTCTCTCATGAATTCCTCTATTGCTTAGGACCTCTCTTTGCACCTCCCTGATATGGACTGTACAAATTCTGTACTGAAATATGGTAATGCAACATTGCAGTCATATACATTTTTGTATTTGGGGCAAGTAACCATAGCAGAGGCCTAGAAGATGGAGTAGGCCATTTAGGGTGTGGGGGTGAAGGGAGAATTCTATGAAACACCACAAGATACCTCAGCCATTTAACCACTGGGGGAGGAAGTTTGTCCTACAATACCATGAAGGAGATGGAAGACATTGTACAACAACATGGTGATTTAGGTGCCCCTATCCTGGGACAAAGCCCCAGTCGTCCTGCCCTACTTTTTTCTCTGTAACATCAGAAACCTGAAGAAGAAAAAAAAAAGAGAATACATAGTAGTTTGATTCTGTGGCTGGAATTTTTCTTCTTGCACTGTATAAAAAGTGGGACTAGAAGGTATGAATATATCAGGAGAATAATTCCCTCTTATGTCCTGGAAAGCCTAATTTTTTTCTCTCCTTGGTAATTTCATTGGAAGACAAGGAAAATCCCTCTCATTTCCTTTCTAATTATTTTGACTTTGATTCACACTCACCACTATCTGTAAGACCAACCAGTCACGAGATCAGTGAATATGCAACTTTTTGACTTTCAGTTGCCCTTGATTTGTGGTTAAATGTTTCCCTGTGTATGCATAGAGGGTGAAAAAGAAGGACCAATAAAAACAGTCACAAACAAGCTATAAAGAAGCAGGCGGCACTATTTATTGGCCTGGTCTTACTGTAACATAACCTATCAACTGAATGTTAAAAATGTTAAATTGTCTGTAACAGAACAAATCGAGTTACTAAGAGACTCATTTATCCTACCTGGAAAATTGAAAACTACTTATGGATAAGCATAAGCGTGTGTGAAAGAATAGCCTTTTGCACCTTGAAGATGTTCTGTTCTAAATTTAAAGCCAGCATCCCATTTGCTGTGTTAGGTATCAGTAATACAAGTAAGGAATAGGAGGAGCAAGTCTTCCAAGTGAGAGTTCCTTGTGGCATCTGATGGTGCTCTGGAAAACTTAATTCAAAAATCACTGCATATAACTATGTTTCCCATGAAAGGAAGATAATGCTGTAAGGAACTAAAAATAAAAACTCATTAGCATTTCACCCCAATGTCCCTGACATACAAATTATTCCTGTATTCCAACTGATCTGTGGTGTCACTGACATGAACACTCACTTCAGTGATATAGACCATAGTCCACCCATCCCCACTCCTCATTCAGAAGCCTTGTCCATGTTCTCCAATATATGTAGCATAGGAGATCCTATTATTTGAATGTCAAAGAGGTCTGTTTTAAGGCATTTCAATCACCAAAACCTCACGTGTTTTCCACTGAAAGCAACTCAAGGCTTAGGTGTGTATAAAGACTCATTGAACACAAAGCAAAATTTTTAATTTAATTCATGTATTTCCATGTCCTTTTCTCCTTTCCTTGATTTTTATTTGGAGTCAAATTATACCAAATGAAAGTTAATTTACAACTTACTTTCAAAGCATAATAAGCCATTTGGTCTAGCTCATTGTGTATGGGATTGTTTCAAAGTATTTCAGTTTCCAATTGATGTTTGGCTCCCTGGGATTCAAGGAGAGGTATTTAGCACTTGAGGTGAGAGTTATTCTTTTTAAAATGAAAATAGATAATATTAGTTTTTCCTTCTAGGCATCTTAGAAATATAAATTTGGACAAATAAAACTGCATATGGCCCTGGGAGATGCATACTGGAAAGTACTGTACTTTACTCAGTAGAGTCCTACTGATGAAATTGTAGAAAACCATTTTTTTTAAAAAGGCCAGTGATAGATCAAATAAAACTAGGTGAAGAGTTAGAGTCCCTTGCCAATCCTTTATGTTCTCCTGTCTTCTCTCTCATTACCAACCTTCACTGAAACACGCAGCATTCTTTTTTAAAATTTTTATTCATTTTGAACTTCAATACAAAAAAGCAACACTCAATACTCTTGAGTGGTGCTCTAGGTCCCTCCTATTATGAAGGAAAACAATGTGATAATTCATGCATATTTCATCCATTTTAAAAGAGGACTATATCTTAAAAGGAATAATTAATAACAGAATTTCAGATATAAATGAGGTTCTTGCTAGTTTCTCAGAGCACAGTGGAATTGACCAGCTACACAAGGAAGACAGTGTAGGAAGGAAACAAACATTTATTAAGGAAACAAGCATTTATTAAGCATCTACTATGTGCCAGGCACTGTACTAAGTGCCTTAGAAATATTATCTCATTTCATCCTCATAACAATGCTAGGAGATTACTGCTATTATTATCCAGATTTTATATCTGAGTAATCAGCATTTCAGATCACTGTATTTGCTCTAGCTCTATAAATTTAAAATTAAACAAAGAATGCTTTGGGTAGAGTAAAAATAAGTAAAGGAATAATGTGAAAGGATGGCAAATGAGTCTTGGTTTAAAGAGCAGTAAATTAAAATTTCTTTTGAAATTTATTCTGAGTGTAAATTTAGAAGAAAACATTCCATTTTCCTGATTCACTCTTTCTTTGACTGAGGCTCTTTATTTAGAATAAGAGGCTTATTGTTGTTTTCCTTAGGTAATGCATTGTTCCATAAATTTCTTCTTTTCATTGGACAGACTTAGTTGTGTAGACAGACCCTGGACAAGTCACTTAGACTTTCTGGGTCTCATTTCCCTCCTCAGTAAAATTAAGAGGTTTCCGTAAACAGTCTCTGGGATCCCTCCTATTGTTTTTTGTTATTCATCCTTTGTTCTCAAAGAGGACCCATGACATCAGGAGGGTGATGTCTGGACTTGCAAATGAATTGGATTTAAGTAAGGCGGAGCTGTATAGAGTCACCAGTCTTACTCTTTCTACAATTTTTGGGGACCAGTGGCAAAACACAGGTAAAGATGACTGCTGTCGGCCCCAGACACACTTTGGCCTTTTTAAGTTATGGTCTTTCCCAAGTGTCAGTTTGTCTGAGATGATGCCCATTCAATAATTAAAGGCTAGGTAAGAATTGAGGCAAAAGATGGCCTAGTTTGCCTTCGCAAAAGAATCAATCTTGATGGGGAAGACCCTCAAGTTTCTGGACAGTACAGAAAAAAAAATGCTATTGGGCTGTGATACTTTGAAATACTGAATCCTAAAGAGACCTTGAGTAAACATACCTCTGAAGCACACAAATGACTAGAACTTGTTTAGTCTCTATAATGGTGAAGAAAAACATACAGACATCAAATTTGTCACAATAAACTTCTTTTGACTGATAAAAAAGAAGGCATTTGATGCCACATTTTACAAATCAACAGTATATAAAGTTTTACCTTTTCTTTTCCTTACACTCTGTGACAAAGTTGGAAAATAGTCATATCTCTACAAGTTTTTTCTGGATGAAGAAAAAGTATTCTCAGCTCTACTTTTTAATAATGTCATTTACTTCTCTACTTTATAGCTAATCTGCATAATAAAAAAAATTTCAATGGTACCTTAGAAAATAATGCATTCTCCACTGTGAATATGAGGGACATTAGGGATCACAGAGCAAATTGCAGGCAAGGCCTATTTTCAAATCAAAAGGAGAAAAGTCAGTCCTTTAAAATATATATACATGTGTATATGCATATATATACATACATACATATACATATGTATGTATATATATATATATATATATATATATGTAGTTCAAATAAGGCTTTATGCTTTTGTAATGGCCTGAATAATTGACATTTGTCTAGTATGATCATTTTAGAAGAATTCCTTGTTCATTAATCTGGAAAGTTGAGATTCCTCTCCAAAGAGATCTTTATATTTTCAAGGAATAAGTACTTTACCAAGGTTTAATTTTTGCCACCCAGCTACCATCTACTTTTCCACTCTTGTTTCTTACTACCGCTTTTCACTGTGTTTCAGTCAAATTCTTCTACCAGCTCTCTTTCGTATATAATATATCATCAGTCCTTTCATGCTCTTGCTCAAGTAATTCCTTCATATCTGGCACACACTCTCTTCTCACTTCATAACACAGAATCTCTAGCTTCCTCCTAAAAAAGGTCTTTTCTGATCTACCCAGTATTCAGATCTCTTTCCTCTTGAAATTTCTTTCTCTTCCTTTGTGCTTACATATTTAACAAGGCTGCATTTCCATTCCTTGACCTCTTCATGAAATAAGATGAGACCAGTACCATTTTTACCTTGGGAATTAGGTATTCTACTCTCACTGAAGAGACTACTGAGGGAGTGCCTGTTTTTCATTCTTTGAAATTCAGTGACCTTCAATTCCTCAGTTTCACCTCAACCACAATGGCTACACTTGTCTCAGTAGTCTAAGGCAGGAATTCTTAATCTTTTTGTATTATGTATGCCTTTGGTAGTCTGGTAAAGTATATGGACCTGTTCTCAGAATAACGTCTGTAAAGAATTTGAGGAAATGCTTAATTTCAGCTAGAAGTTAATGAAAATAAAGTTGTCATTCCCCTGCACAATTTGGCAGAACCCCAGAAATCTATCCATAGACCCTTTTGGGAATTTATGGACCCCAGATCAAGGACCCTTATAACAGAACTTGATTTCAATTTGTTTATAATCTAATAGGTAAAAGACACATACATAAATAACCATTTTATGAAAAATAGTTAAGATATGTAGGAAAGATTCAAGCTAAGTGATATAAGAAATTCTAAAAATTGGAAATTCTTTGCACCTCAGGGGATAGATAGGGGCAGGAGAGCCTGAGTTGAACCTAGAAAGAAATGGGTTACTTCAACAGACTAACAGTGTTGGTCTTTCCTTCCAGACAGGCAGGAATGAATGACAGCTTTAGAAAAGCCACACGTATGGAAGAGAAAAGATTATGGACAAAGACTGAAGAGTACATAAAGGTGAGAAATATGAGATTTATTTTCTTTTTGTATGAATATATGATTTGATTGTTTTAGGACATCCCTGGTACCTAGATAAAGCAGCAACTTGATTATATTTTGTAGTCCTAAAACTTTTCTTCAGAGCATTAAGAAGTTAAGTGAATTACTTATGGTCACAACAGTATGATACAGAGGTAGGGTGCCACCTCTCTTTATTATCTCGTGCTGATTCTCAATGACCAAAAATTAAGTTCATTTATGAATTAACTTCTTTGTTTTAAATTTATATGGTTACTAAGCAATTTTTCTTTGTTGTACTTATGTTTTCACTAAAACTATTAAAAATAACCAAGAATGCATCATATTGGGAGTCAGTAGATCTATAACCCTGGTGCTGCCACTAATTTATTATGTCCTTATGGGCAAGTCATTTTAACTTTCTGGGCCTATATTTCCCCATTAGTAAATATGGGGTGGGATTAGATGGAACTATAAAATCCTCCTCAGATTTAACATTCAATGATTTTATGACTTGAAGTTTCTTTGGGAAGTAATATGGATGACTTGAGAATACCTAAATGGAGAAATGGATTAATTTTAGGCAAGTCTATTGGTCCCAGAAAATGTTTATGTAAGCATTAACCTCCTGGTATATTGACAAATCAAAAAAACATATTGGTTGTGCCTAAGCTTCTTTTGGGCACCATCTTTATACTCCCAATCCCTGACTCTGGAGTCAGGATGGCCAAGAATCAATTCCCACTTCAGATGCTTTGTGACTATGGACATGCTATGTGTACTCTCTGAGCCTCATCTTCCTTATCTATAAAATGAGAAGTCTCTTAGTGCTTTAAATTTTTTCTCTTTGTGCCTCAGAAGTTGATTTCTTTATAATCTTGGGGAGCTAGGTGACACAGTGGATAGAGTGTCAGGCCTGGAGTTAGGATGACCTGAATTCAAATCTGGCCTCAGACATGTAGTAGCTGTCTGACCCTGGGCAAGTCATTTCACCCTATTTGCCTCAGGTTCCTCATCTGTAAAATGAGCTGGAGGAGGAAATGGCAAAACCACTCCAGTATCTTTGCCAAGAAAACCTCAAATGGGGTCGCAAAAAGTCAGACGTGACTGAAACAACTGAACAAGAATCTTGTATAGGTGCACTACAACTCATTACTATTTGCCTATTCTCCCTCCCTTCCCCTCACCTCCCTCATTATGTAAAATCATTGTATCTCATTACTATTTGTGTTCTCTATGCCAAGTAGCCATGAAGAAGGTCCTCTGTTCTGATCACTGTTTCCTACTTGAGTTTGAGGGGAATGAAGCACCTTTTCTCCTGATTTTTCCCTATTTTCATCATCTCCCCTTCCCATCCTACCTCTAGGGATGCCCTTTGAAAGGAAAAGCTCTATGGATTTAGAGTTAGAATGGACCTTAAAGGCCATCTAGTCAACTCTCTCATTTTACAAGTGAGGAAAATGAAGCCTAAAGATGTTAAATAATCCAAGATCATGGAGCCAGTAAGTGTCAGAAATGGGATGTGCAGCTTTGTTCTCCAACTCCAGATGTATCATGTATTCTGCAACACCACACTGTAAAGCTAGCTTCTCCTGGCACAGCTTCCAGCAAAGCCAAAGAGAGAAAGAAATATTTAGGGCCGGCTATATATGCAGTCATATTCAGGTGTAAACATAAAACATTATTTTACCCACTGTAATAAGTTTTGATTTTCTCAAAGATACTTTCATGAAAAAATTCTTTAAGGTTAACATTTGAAATCAAAATCAGAAAATATTAATTGAAGTAAATTTGATTCAGCCAGTCTTGATGAGAAAAGAGAGAAAGAGGAGAAGATAGGAGGCACAGTGCTTTCCCCTCTTTAGTGTCTGTGTTCTGCTGCTGTGCCTCCCACCAACAGAGGGTTATATGAGACTTTGTCTCATATTTATATACCTAGCTATAACATACCTGCCCTGTCTGCAATGGGATCTGCCTAAGTCCTACATGGAAAACACCATTGGGGTGTTAATTGGTTGATGACGCTTTCTGCCTATAGTTCAGCTCTTAGAGCATGTCTAACATGAACCTCTGATACTATTCCCTTTCCCCCGAGCAATTCTCATGGCAGGGGTTCAAGAACTGTTTCTAAGTCAGAGGGCTCAAAATAACATGTAAACAGATTAATTAATGTTATGGCAAGGAAACTCACTTTATTACAGTTTAGAAGACTCATCAGTTAAAGGCTTTCTTTATTCTGACATTAAGTTGAACACCTGGGCAAGGTGGAGTACCAGTTGATACACAGAAAAGTGTCTCTACGGGGAACTGGGCTTCTAAATACGAACTATTTCCCAAAAATATATACAGCATACAGAAAACAGTCAGGCTTGTTGACAACTAGGCAGTCATTGATCTTGGGACAAATTTGTGTTTCAGGGTAGAGGAGACAAACTTTCTCATGTGCTAATTTATTTATTGCTTTGGGGGTCTCTGGCAAAGAAAATTCTATATCTTTTGATTGGCCTTGCATAATAACTGGGGTAAAGAGAGGCAAAACATGCAGATTAAATGTAATTGGTCTTTTAACTTTGAAATGAGACCTTTTACAATGGTTTTGTTCCTATCAAGGAGGGGTCCATTGTGATTCTATATGGTATATCAAATATCATTCCTTTATTTCCATTGTTAAGAAATTTACAATCATAATCTTTTAAGCTGTATTTGAGGATTTTCCAATTAACCATCATTGCTTTTAATAAGTAGAAATTCATTTCCATATTATCTAGTACTTTAACATTGACTATAATACAAATAAAGACCATTGTTGGAAATGACCTTAACACCAAGTAAATCAAATGATTAGAATGAAACTAAAATATATCACCAAAATTTCCATTATAGGCTCTTCCGAAAGGACCAGCTGGACTACCATTTTAAAGGTCTCTTGTGAGTATTTCAAGTTATTGCTTTATGAAAAGAGGGGGGGAGTCTTTTTTGGGTTTGCAGTCACATTTAGTATTTTTATTCATCATAAAATATGTCAGGACAACAGATGACATTCTCAGTATAGAAAATTAATTTAAACAAGTCAGGTAGAAATCTACCTTTTTGAAGGGAAGATGTTTTTTGTAAGAAGTATATTTTATTTATTACTTATACAGACAGGTAATGCATATGAGGCTCTTCCATTAGTCTCTTCTTTGCATAAAAAATAGATTTAGGCACTGCAAAAGGAGTACAACCACTTCTCCAAATTTTCACTCTTAATGGTTCTTTTTAAAATGTTATCTGAATTTTATTTGATCAGAGAAAATCAGATTTAATTAATTAGTATATCTCCCCCTTTCTTACTATTCTAACTGTGGAGAATTTTCAGTTTGGAAGCATAGACATAAAAATGTGATTCTTTATCATGTAAGTTGCTTTACTGTGTTTTTTATATGTTGCACAAATATATTCTAGACATAGATTCTATAAATAAAAGTTCAAATAAAAAAACTTGATATGTTTTCAATTTCTGTAATTAGTTTTGTCAGAGTCATACCCAGGGCTGAGCTATCAGTTGAAAACACTGAAATATATTTTTGGGAAGTGAGATGCTGCAGGGTTTTACTTTACAACAATAGAATTAAAGGGAGGCAACATTCAGTTGCTCATTGTTCATGGATTCATTTTAAACATTAAATATGCCCTTTTTATACAGCCACAAAATTAGGATCTTGTCATTGAAGTTAATTTTCCTTAAAAAGACCGCACTATAATTATCATGCAATTTACACCAAAGTTTATTTTTGGGATCATATATAGAAAAGTACAGATGCATTTCACTTACAATACTGATGGGGGGGTACCATATAAATACATTTAAATGAGCATAATTATGTCATAATAAAAAGAGAAAGAAAAGACAAAGGAAAGGAGATAACGAAGGGAGATAGAAAAGAGTTGAACTAAGACTCAGTATACTTAGTAGGTCTGCAATTGACTGGCTCTATTGCCTTGAATAAATCATAATAATCTCTTTGTGCTTTAGTCTCCTAATTGTATAAATATATAATTAATATCACTTTCAAGTGAATAAACTGAAGCTCAGAAAGATGAAATTCCTTGTCACAAAGTCACATAGTAAATGTTAAAGCTAGGACACAACAAAATCTAGTTTCTGCCATATTACCTTCCAGTTTTTCCAGCAGTTTTTGTGAAATAGTGAATTCTTGTCCTATTAGCTGGGATCTTTGGTTTATCAAATACTAGGTTGAGCTCATTTGTTTCTGTGTATTAACTGTTCTATTGATCAACAATTCTATTTCATATTGAGTACCAAATTGTTTAGATAATTATAGCTTTGCATTATAATTTGAAATCTGGCACTACTAGGACCCCTTCATCCTTGTTTTTGTTTTTATTGATTCCCTTGATACTATTGACCTTTTGTTCCAGCATATGAATTTTGTTATTATTTTTTTCTAGCTCTATAAAGTAATTCTTTGTTTGTTTGATTGGTATGACACTAAGCAAATTAATTTTGATAGTATTATCATTTTTTAATATTGGCTTGACCATCACATTAGCAATTAATATTTCTACGATTATTTAGATCTGCCTTTATATGAAGTGTTTTGTAATTATGTTCACATAGTTTGTGTTGTATCTTGACTCCAAAGTATTTACTATTGTCTGTCGTTATTTTAAATGGTCTTTCTCCTTCTATCTGTTCTTGCTGGATTTTGTTGGTAATATATGATAATGCTGATGATTTGTGTGGCTTTATTTTATATCCTGAAACTTTACCCAAGTTGTTCATTGTTTCAAGTAGTTTTTTAGTTGACCCCAAGATTCTCTAAGTAAACCATCATATCAATTGAAAAGTCATAGTTTTCTTTCTTAGTGGCCTATGCTTATTTTTTTAAATTTCTTTTTCTTGTCTCATTGCTACAGCTAGCATTTTTAGCATAATATTGAATAGTAATGGTGATAATATACATTTTTGCTTTCCCCCAATCTTATTAGAAAGGCTTCTAGCTTATCCTCATTATAAATAATGCTTGCTCTTCATTTTAGATGTACCACTTATCATTTTAAAGGAAGCTCCAACTATTCCTGTATATTATAGTGTTTTTAACAGGAATGAATGTTGGGGGTTTTTTTCTGCATCTATTTAGATAATCATATCATTTTTTTTATTCATATGGTCAGTTATGCTTATAGTTGTCCTATTATTGAACTAGCCCTGCATACCTGTTATAAATTCATCCTGGTTATAAGGTATGATTTTTGTAATGTTGTAATCTCCTTACTAGTGTTTTATTTTTAAAAATTATGTCAATATTCATTAAAGAAATTGATCAATGGTTTTCTTTCTCTGTTTTGATTCTCCCAAGGTTAAGTATTAAGATCATATTTGTGTCATAAAATAAATTTCATAGGATATTTTCTTTACCTATTTTTCTAAACAGTTTATGTAATATTGGAATTAATTCTTTAAATGTTGGGTTTTACATATAAATCCATCTAGTGTTGAATTATGGCTTGTTCAATTTATTTTTCTAAGATAGGGTTTATTCAAGTTTTCTATTCTGTTCATTTAGGCAATTTATATTTCGGTAAATATTTTTTTCACTTAGATTGCCAGTTTTGTTGGCATATAGTTGGTCAAAATAGCTCCTAATAATTGTTTTTCTCTTTTTAGAGTTTTGATTTTAGTATTTAAGTGTGGGAGGGTTAATTTGTTGAGTTTTCTTTATTTCCATGCCCATTTTGCTGATCTGTTCTTTATTTTACTGATGTAAGCATTTAGAGAGATAAATTTGTCCTAAGAACAACTTTGGCCATATTTCACAAATTTTGATATGTTGCCTGATTGTTATCATTATCTTTAATAAAGGCATTAATTTTTGTCTATACTTTCTTCCCTACCCATTCTTTAGGATTGGATTAGTTTCCAATTAATTTTTAATCTATGCTTCATGGCTCTTTGTTAAATATATTTTTATTGCATTTATTGCACTTATTATTTCTGCTTTTCTGCATGTTTGTGAGGTGTTTATGCCCAGTACATAGCCAATTTTTGTGAAGGTGTCATTCACAATTTAGAAATAGATATATACTTTCCATTCCCACTGAAGATTTTCCAGAGGGCTATCATATCTAACTTTTTTAAAGTTTTATTTACTTTATGTTTAGAATAGCTTTATCTAGTTCTGAGAGAAGTAAATCAAGGTCCCCCACTATTATAGTTTTACTGTTTTTTTCTTGCTATTCATTTAACTCTTCCTTCAAGAATTTGCATTTTATGCCTTTTCAAGCATTTATTCACTATTGACATTAATTGTTTGTCCATGGTAACTATTAGTAATTTGTAGTTTTCTTGTTTATCTCTATTAGAGAGTTATAATATACATTATATATGTAATATATCTATTAGATCTATTTTTGCTTTGAGATCACAATTGTCAGGCCTGCTTTTTTTTCCCCTTTAGCTGAAGCATAACAGATTTTACACCAGCTCCTTGTTTTGACTCTGTGTGTATCTTTCAGTTTCAAGTGTGTTTCTTTCAAATATATGGTTGAATTCTAGTTCCTTATCCATTTGGTATCTTCCTTTTATGGGTGAGTTCATTTCACCAGCAGTTGTGATTGTTAAATGTGTATTTCTCTTCAACCTGTTTTATTATATTTATCCTTATCTTTTTTTTAATCCTGCCTCTCCTTAAACGTTTTTGCTTCTGACTCTTGTCTCCCTTAATCTACTTTATCTTTATTAATCAACACTACCATTTTCTTTTAACTTGTTTCCCTTCAACTTCCCCGTTGGGCAAGATGAATTTCTGTACCCAACTATGTATATGAATATTCTTTCCTCTATGAAGCAGTTCAAGTGTTGTCCACTTGTCCCTCTCAACTGTCCCCTTTTCCTTGCGCTCCCCATTTACATGAGATAACATTCCCATTCTTCCTCTCTTGGTACATTCTACTTTCTCACCCTTCCATTTCTTCTTTTGATATCTCAACATAATATAATCACACTCTCTAATTAAATTCCCTCTGAGACCACTGCTGGTGATTGAGTCCTAAGGGGTTATATCAATCAGCTCCCCATAGAATAATGTGAACAGTTTAACCTTATTAAATCCCTTATTATTTTTCACTCATTTTTACCTTGTTATGTTTCTCTTGAGTTTTTTGTTTGAATGTCAGATTTTCTTTTCAGCTGTGATCTTTTCATGAAGAATTCTTAAAAGCTCTCTATTTCACTAAATGACCATTTTTCCCTCTACAGGATTAAACCAATAATCCATATATATGCACATATAATACACACACACACACACACACACACATACACATATATATTTTTAAATTAGGCCTAATTTGCAACTTAATCTCTCTCTACACAGTATATTTATCTACATATATGTACATGTGTTTGTATCTACACACAAATATTGACATTCTTGTGCAGATTGGCTTTTTTTTAAAAACAATAAATATTTCTAGTCATAAGGTTAAATATGTTAAAGAAAAATAGTCACTGGGCAACAGCTTTTCAACCACTCCATGATACCTTTGTTGAAAATAAATAGATCCACCTCCTTATTATAATCTATGATGTTCTATCAATTGCTGTGACTTAACTTTGCTACATGTTTTTATTACATATTATGACGTATGCTTAGTCTGCCTGCCCTATTTGTGCTCACATCATTTTAACTGGTTAAGTGTACTGCTGTCATAAATACTCTGGCTATATTCAAACACTTATAGTAGGCTATCACCAAACATGATTTTAATGCTAACTGCTCACTGCAATTTCTCAAGGAACTACAAGTGATATCATGGCTAACTGTATAAATCAAATAGAAAGTAGACATGATCCCATCACACTTTAAACTTTCTGTTTGGCCTATGGACCAAAGTTACATAGATTGCATGTGTTTTTAAGTAGA